AACTGAAAAACTACAAACCAAAAAAAAAAAAAAAAATCACACTTTGGATCTGAGGATCAAAATGTGAACCTCAAGGAACATATTAAATAAAATAAATAAATAAATAAAAATCCATGCCATGACCCCTTTAACATATTGTGATGGTCCCAGTAAACAAATTCTGACTGACCCGCTGTGCTGACCTGTAGACGTGCAGCTCACTCACCTGAGCTCAGATAAGTGTGTGTGTGTGTGTGTGTGTGTGTGTGTGTGTGTGTGTGTGTGTGTGTGTGTGTGAGAATGCATGAAGGACAGACGGCTGATGGTATGATCGGTCTTACCGACATTTCCTGCCATCTGTTTACTGATGATGTGGTAAATATATAAAAATTAAATAAAATATTTGCCATTTTTTAAACATTTGACTATTTTTGGCATCATATTTGAGTGTTGGATTCAACAGCAGTTTTGGGCATAGGCATATTTGAATATTTTATTTAAAAGTGTGGGGTCAGTAAGATTTTTAATGAAAGAAGTCTCTCACCAAGGCTGCAAATATTTGATCAAAAATACAGTAAAACCAGTAATATTGTGAAATGTTATTACAACTTAAAATAACAGTGTTCTATTTGAATATATTGTAAAATGTAATTTATTCCTGAATTTTCAGCATCATAACTCCTGTCTTCAGTGTCACATGATCCTTCAGAAATCAGTCTAATATGCTGAGTTGCTGCTCAAGAAACATTTCTGATTATAATTGATGTTGAAAACAGTTGTGCTGCTTCATATTTTTGTAGGAACTGTGATACTTTTTACTTGATGAAAAAAGTTCAAATGATAATTTATTTGAAATATTTTGTAGCATTATAAAAGCCTTGTCACTTTGGATCAATTTAATGCATCCTTGCTGAATAAAAGTAGCACATCAATTTCTTTAAAAAAAAACAAAAAACTTTCTGACCCCTAGCCTATGTTTAACTTCACACTTTGTATATAAACATCAAACTACTAAAACGCTGTTATCAGTAACATGAGAACATTGTGATCTCAGATGTAGTGTATATTGCTCTGAGTCACGTGATTGTTAATGAGTTTCTTCCTGTGTACAGTGTGAACCGTCAGTCCGTCCGCACGGGCTGCGCGCGTTGAACGTGGTTTCCCAACACTGTCTGTGCATCTAGGGAAGAGAGCATGGCACATATCACAGCGAAACGGGTCAAAAGTCCTCAGAGTCACAACCACTACAGCATGTCTACAGTGAGTCCTGTTACCCAGCATGCCCTCTCACCTCATACGCAAGCAGCCTCCCCAGAGGCACAGCAATGATGATTTTTACTCCTGGAGGTGCTGGAGTTGGGATGTTACTGAAAGTGAAAGGTCAGCATGTTTGCTGTTTACAAGCGCAAAATAATTTTAATGCAAAAGCACTGACTTTTGAAATAATAAAACCTGATTCTAAAGAAAAAGCTATTGCAGTAACCTAAATTATTCATATTGGCACAAATGGCATATTGTGGTTAGCATAAGTCATAACAAAGAAAACTCATAATTGCATGTCCTTAATGTTCATACTTAATTGTCATAAATGTAAAAATTAAAAATAGAGAAAATAAAATAGTAAGAATAAAACGTATTAAACTATATTTTATATAATTATATTTAAATTTACTTGATTAAATAAAAAAATGCAGTTTAGGGA